AGAACCTTACAAACAACGACAAGGGACTGTTGCGTAATTGTTGTCACCAGCTAGCCATACTTAACCCGTGGCTCGAACCCACGGACTGTTTGTTAGTAGTCCGACACTCTACTGATTCGTTGTCTGCACAGCCGCTGTGCGGCTGCTATCCGGGCTCCAACGTGAGACCCCAGGCACGAAGGTACGGAGGAGTTCCGTAGGCGATCGGTGAGCACCGGCCACTATTCTTTATATTTTCGATTGAAACCAACAAACCAGCGGGAAAAAGGCTTGATTGCTAGAGCTTTGGACTTCCAACCAACAGGCTATGGGTTCAAGCCTCGGCTGTTTAAACATCTGGATTTGGATATGGTTATCTTCTTATGGTAAATAAGCCAGAAGTGACCCTTCTAGTCTCTCTTGTCTTCGCCGGCAGTTTTTTCCTGTATGACACTCAGAGTAGACGCGCATGGCATTTTCGCATTCGCTGTCAATATCCTACATAATAAATAGTCTATACTTACTCTAACTCATGATTTGCCGTGGCTAGACTTCTTGTGTCCAAAGATTCGAATTTTTCTTTGTTGGGGACAGGACAGTTTAAAAATTGGCTGCCACGTCTTGGAACAGACACCTAAAACGCTATAATAGGTCTTAACCCATAGGAATTATAAGCGTGAAAGGAAGCCCAACCGGATGTAAACTGGAATCAGGCTTGACTACCCGTCAAACTCAGGCTGTTTCAAACGATTAAAGCAAATTTCGTTTACATGTTCTTTGATTATGCCGTTGACTGCAGCGCCAGAACCCTGATTATAGTTCCCTCTGTGCTAACAATGTATCATAGGTAGCAGCAAGCTAATAAAACTCAAATAACTCTGAAGATTTAGGGCTATCAGGTTCACATTTCCCACCTCCTATTGGCTGTACTTCTCAACGGCGGTTTATTCAGTTACCTCAAATTTGCAGCAGTTTGTTTTTATGATTTTTAAATTATCGTGCTCTTTTTCGTTGCTATATGCTAGCTTTTTATAATATTTTTATCGAATAACACCTGTTGTTGTCGGTTTTATTTCCTATTTTGTCTCCTGTTCCCTAGTAATGCCCCAACCGTATAACTCCTATCAGCACCGTTCCCATACTACGGAATTCTGGGATTTTGGTTTCCGTAGTGTTAGATATAACATATTGTTACCCCGTCTCTGATTTCTAGGTAATTAAGAATGTACGCGAACAACGATTTCCAGTATGCTGATCCCGGCGATGGTTACGTCGATGAGGAAGAGGAGGAGGTGCCGATGGTTGAACGTGAAATGGCCGACGATGCGGAATGGAAATTGATTCAGAAGAACACCTTCACGCGTTGGGCCAACGAACACCTGAAGGAGAAGCACACCTCCTTGGATGACCTGCAATTCGATCTCGCCGATGGGCTGCGATTGATTGAACTGGTTGAGTCCCTGTCGGGACAAAAATTTCGACACGTCAACAAGAAGCCGAGCTTTCGCACTCAGAAGCTTGAAAATGTCACACAGACGTTGCGTTTTCTCGAGGAATCTGAAGGCCTTCGACTGGTCAATATTGGTAAGAAGATGTTGGTTAGATCGGCTGTTTTGATCTTTTAGCTTTCTTCTTTGCGTCTATGGCATATCAAGAATCCATATCATTGAGTTCCTTAGCTGGGTTTTCAACCAGCAACCGATATTAGTTGAGAAGGCTTATCTAACTACAGCCACGTGTTCACATCCTATCGGGGTCACCTGGTTTTTCACGAATGGGTCTGTTTTTATTATTATTGGCTGTTTACAGTACACTGTCCCGAAACGCCTGAATTGCGTGCATTTTTAAGTAAAGATATCCGGAAGAATAGAATTCCAGGCAAAAGTAGCTTTAGTTGATTTTTCTATTCTACTCGTACTTGATGAAAATATGGATTAGTTAAACAATGCGTTTCAAAAAGATCGTCAAGATAAACCGGGGGTGTTCACCGGATAGCCAATGTGGGATAGCCTGGAATTTACTTTACTTTAGACTTCAACCTTATCAGCAGTGTATAGTCATGGATATGTTGATTTATCCGGTTTGTCAGCAAGTTTATTATTTCCTGAACGCTTCGAAAACTTCAGCATTTGTGTGCCACATTCTTCCAAGTTCAACATACCACTCAAAGTTCTAACGTTAATATGCATCGTCATTGATTTAAAGATGCCCTTTCTAGTCAAGTCTATTTATAGTTACTCCACTCTCCATTCAATTACTCCTAAAAAAGTGAAGTCACTCGCCGAAGTAGACTTGTCCTGTTGCTGAAGTTTCGAAGAGCTTCCTTTGATCTCCATTTTCAAAGCGCTTACTGCCGAAAATCGGCCAGAAGTTTTAACGACTGGCCGGACTAGTCGGCCTTGGATTGGTCGACTTTTTCTTTATTTGTTGTTTCGGCCTTTTGACGGATGTCTGTGGCATTTGACGGCCGCTGGCATTAAGTATCGTAACCTCTCTTCTGGTGGAATCATTGCATATGACCAGTTTGTCCTGGTCTTCATGTAGTTACAGAAACAGAACAGTCTAGATGCCTGTTGATAGAGTTGGCATCTGACTATCCCGCCTCAAGTGTGATTTGTTCTGCTTTTGAGCTGTCTCGGCCGAAGACGGTCGTTCCTTGAACGTCAAAAGTGTAGCCGCTAGGAATTTGAACTTAGCCTCTGAGTTTCTAGTTTGTGTTCATGTAGGCGACTCTTTAAGTTTTGTCCAGTTTCCTCAACAGTCCTAATATTGAAAAATGCTTGGTTGCTAACTGCCGAGCATTCGGTACGAGGCAGCCTGTCCGTAGATGGTATCAGATGGCGACGAATTTTAGCCCGGTGTTTTATGGGCTATGCCTACTGCGGCTGATTACAACAGGCCAGAGACTGCCTCAGAGCCTCCGCTTATGCGGGACATGACCGCCCAGGCTTCGAATTGTCTTGGACGGTTCCTAGTC